AAATATCTGTTATTCATAAAATCATATAAGAAGCTTCTGTAAGTTATTTCGAGAAACAGATGATCATGTAGGCTATGGTGCAATGAAGCCCCCTATTAAAAAATAGTAGGCCTTTGTGGGGGAAGTTTGAATAAGCAACCGGCTATTAGACCCCAAAATGAGTCATAAACCTATAAAATTCATCTCAAAATTCTACTGTAAAAACTGAAATGGTCAGGTCTCCTATATGGCAGTGTAGCTTCAGAAAATACGGCCAAAGGCATACATTGGGGGTATTGTTTTACTAACAGGAGATAGCTCAGCATAATTTAGGTTGTTTGATCATATTGGAACATATCAAATATACAAAATGCCCAGCACAAATGTAACGCATAAGTTAAAAATGCAAAAAAAATTTTACCACAAACTTTGACATATAATGGTGAACAAATGGCGACATGTTAAGGCACAATATATGCCATATAAGATACCCTGGAGTGTCTACTTTCACAAATGGTAGGCCTTTTTGCGGTTATTGAAACAGTCAAACTGCTATAATGGCCCAAATTGAAACATAAGCCCTGCAAATCCGTCTCTCAAAGTTCTACTCTAAAAACTGAAATGGTCAGGTCTCCTTTATGGCACTGTAGTGTCACGAAATAAATAGTGTCAAAGGCATACATTGGGGGTATTCTTTCACTCAGAAGACTTAGCTGAGCATAATTAGGGGTGTTTGATCATAGTGGAACATATCAAATATACAAAATGCCCAGAACAAATGTAATGCTTAAGTAAAAAAATGTGAAAAATGTTTTTTAAACACAAATTCTGACATATAATGGTGAATACATGGTGACCCGTTAAGGCAATATATATGCCATATGAGATACCATGGAGTGTCTACTTTCACAAATGGAAGGCCTTTGTGTGGTCATTTGAACAACCAAACTACTATAATGCCCCAAAATAAGACATAGGTCCATTAAATCCATCTTTGAATTTCCTAACTGTAGAAACTGAAATAGTCTGGCCTCTTATATGTCATTGTAGCTTCCCAAAATAGCGGCAAAGGCATACAATGGGGTTATTGTTGTACTCAGCAGATGTAGCTGAACACAAAATGGGATTTTGACCAGGAATAGCACAGCAGCTTTACAAAATACACATTTTAAAATCCTTGTTATATAACACGAGCCTTCAGAGTCAAGACATAAGAGTGCCACAATTCAAAGAGCTAGTTAACCCACAAGTACTTATCAGTCCATAGTCCTTTCTG